GTGGGTGTGAGGGTGTGTATATTCTCCAGTCTGGATTCTAGCACCATTTTTCTCCCCAATGCCTCAGGCCACCTCTGACTGCACAAAATCAAAGTGCCCTAAATGACACATCTACTCCCACAGCCCTGCCTGCAGACCACCTCCCTCTTTCAACCTTCTTATTTCCAGCTGGGACTCCAGTTACCCAGGTTCAAAATTTCATTTTTCTTCCACTTCCCTTCCTCTTTTTCCTCCCACTGAATGGGAACAGGATGTTATAGAGCCAACCAGGTTGCTACTGGAGAGCTGGTGAGGGGTGGGATGGGAGAGCAACGGGAAGGAGGTGAGGTGGGGTGGCCTTGAGTGCCAGGTGTGCTGGCAGTGGGGAGCTCCCAGAGGTTCTGAGCAGGAGGACCATGTGCTGAATGTAGCCATCTGGGGAGCTGAACTTGCCTGTATTGGTTTCCTAGGGCTGCTGTAACAAAGTACCACAAACTGGGTGGTTTAAAACAATAGAAATTTTCCCCACCAGTATGGTTCAGTGGTTGAGCCTCGATCTATGAACCAGGAAGTCACAGTTCGATACCTGGTTGGGGCACATGCCTGGTTGTGTGTTGATCCCCAGTGGGGGTTGAGGGGGTGCAGGAGGCAGCTGATCAATGATTCTCTCTCATCATTGATGTTTCTATATCTCTTTCCTTTCCTCTCTGAAATAAATAAAAATATTTTTTTTAAATAAAAAATTATTCTCTTACAGTTCTGGAAGCTAGAAGTTCAAAATCAAAGTATCAACAAGGTCATGCTTCCTTGGAGGAGTTCTCAGAGGGAAAAGAATCCTTCCTTTCCCCTTTCCAGCTTCTGGTGTCCTCTCAAAATCCAAAGACCCATCACTGGCTTATAGACCCACCACTTCAATCTCTACTTCTGTCTTCACATGGCCATCTTCTCCCTGTGCATGTCTCCCTGTGTCTTCACCTGGCCATCTTCTCCCTGTGCATGTCTCTGTGTCTTTACCTGGCCATCTTCTCCCTGTGCATGTCTCCCTGTGCATGTCTCCCTGTGTCTTCACATGGCCATCTTCTCCCTGTGCATGTCTCCCTGTGCATGTCTCTGTGTCTTCACATGGCCATCTTTTCCCTGTGCATGTCTCTCTGTGTCTTCACATGGCCATCTTCTCCCTGTGCATGTCTCTCTGTGTCTTCACATGGCCGTCTTCTCCCTGTGCATGTCTCTCTCTGTGTCTTCACATGGCCATCTTCCTCTTGTGCATGTCTCTCCCCGTGTTTTCACATGGCCATCTTCTCCTTGTGCATGTCTCTCTCTGTGTCTTCACATGGCCATCTTCTCCTTGTGCATGTCTCTCTCTGTGTCTTCACATGGCCATCTTCTCCTTGTGCATGTCTCTCTCCCATTTTAAACTGGATTACACTGTAAAGACCTTATTTTCAAATGAGGTCACATTCATAGGTAACAGGGTTAGGGCTTCAAGATCTTTTGGGGGGACACAATTCAACCCACAAAACTGACAAAAGGGTGGAGAGTGGCTTGGAAGGGCCTGGAGATGCCTGAAGCTGGGCCAGAAGGCTACTACACTGACAGGGTAGGGGCTGAAATGTGGGCCCCTGGGGAAGGGTTGATTGCTCTCTGAGCTGTAAGCTTCCCTCTGTGTTGTGGTCTAGGTGGTGGGTCCACTACTGTGGCCACTGTGTGCCGATGCTGTGTGGGGACACCCGGCTGCTGCTGCTTTCTTCCCTCTCACCCTGATCTGCTTCTTCCTGGGTGAAACCTCACTCTGTCAAGGGTACAGGGGTATGTCCCTGCTTGGGACAAGAATAAGGTTGGGGTTCATAGAGGAAAGCCTTTCTCCTGTGCCCTTAAAGTGTCCCCTGAAATCTTCCTTTAAGAGGGTGAGTGGAGCCTGACCTGCCTTGGCTCAGTGGTTGAGTGTCGACCTATGAACCAGGAGGTCATGGTTTGATTCCCAGTCAGGGCATATGCCCAGGTTTCAGGCTTGACTCCCAATAGGAGGCAGCCAATCGATGATTCTCTCTCATCATTGATGTCTCTCTCTCTCTCTCTCTCTCTCTCTCTCTCGTCAATAAAAAATATATATATATTTAAAAAGAGGGTGAGTGGAGAAGGACTGGTGCCTGCAAGGGGAGCTAAAGGTGGGGGTGGAATTGCAGGCAGGGTAGAGGTCTATCCCATCCAGTCTGGGGTGGGGGACTCTTTTCTGCTCTCCTCTGCCCAGGGAGATCCCAGGCTGCAGATGGGGTTGGTTCTGTGTGTCCTGCCTACGGGGCCTGATGGGAGAGAGATCTCACCTGCTCTTACCCAAGCTCCCGGTCTCTCTCCCAGAGTTCCCAGCCATCCTGAAAGGGTTTGGAGTCCTCCCACACACCAACACCACCATCCCTCACAGAAGAGTCTGTTAGCAGAGGGCCTCAGGATAACTCCTGAGCACTGGGCCCAAGAGTCTACGCCTGACCTCCTGGAGTCAGCACACCCAAGCGGGCTCAGCTGGATCACATGAGAGCCCCTCCCTGCTTGTGATCCTCGCTGTTCACCAGCTCACTCCTCCATGCAATGACCAGAGTGGTGGAGGAAGCAAAAACAGTCAAGAGACCTGAGTTCTGTGCTGGCTCTGTCACAGATTCACTGTGCATCCTTAGCCAATAACTTCCTCTCTCTGGGCCTCACTATCCTGAATGCAGTGTGAGGGCTGGACTCAGGATCCCTCAATGTTTGATGAGTCTAATTCATAGGAATGGCCCTCTGATGATGCAATTCCAGGAAGGGTGTGATGGGCAAATGGAATGGGAGGTGTGGAGGGCTTTCCTGTTGCCCTGTTCATCATGGGCCACAAATGGTCACACTTGCTCGTGAAGTGAGCCTTTGTTTCTTCCTGTCCAATCCCACTGGCCAGGGCCTCAGGCCAGGTTCTCCTCACTTCCATCTTGGGCTACTGCAACCATCAATTTCCTATCCGCCTCTCAGCCCCTGTGCTCCAATTCTCCGCCCCACCTACTGGACCCCGCCTTCCTGTCCTTGCTCACACTGTCACCCTCTGTTCTCCTGGTCCCTCCCTTGCCTGGTTAACTCTCCTCCTCCCAGAAGTCTCTTCTCTGACTCTCCCAGGTGGAATCCTCTCAGACTAACTCCACACAGCATGTCTCCCTTAATGAACTGTGAGTGCATGTAAGGCAAGGCATATTTATTTTCCATCTTTATGTTCCCAAAGCTCAGGACAGGCCTGGAACTCAGTAGTTGCTCACAAAGCATGTGTTAAAAGAAAGAAAAAAAATAGAGGGGAGAGAGAGAGAGAGAGAGAGAGAGAGAGAGAGAGAGAGAGAGAGAAACACACGTGTTGAAGGAAGGAACCCTTGCAGAATGCTCATTGCCTGCAGTGCCCTTTCACTGCCCTAGGAGCCAGCTGTTTCCCTCCCTTACCCCCAGGGCTGGGGAGCATAGCAGGCCCCAGGGAAGGTTCATAGAGGGCTGCCACGGTGCAATTCCGCTTCTCTGCTGCCTCCTGCTGCTGAAGAAAAGAAACTGCTGGAAGTTTCTCTGGCTGCAGGCTCCTGCCCTGCCTCGGGGATAGATGTTTTTTGGAATGCAGGGAATAATGGCTTTCCCTTATGCAGAATGTGCTGTATTCTTCGTTCTGGTAACAACAGCCAGAGGACATGGTTGGTGCCGTCCTTCCCTCCCTCCAAAGCCCACTCTCCATGGAAGGGTGTGAGCTGCGAATCTGATTCCCAGCTTTCCAGGCTGGTCAAGGGCCTTCTGAACACCTGGAGAAGCGAGGGCTCTTGTCCCCCACTCTTGCTTCAGATGCCATCACTGCCAGTGCCCGTATCACCCACTCCTTAGTATAAGCCAGTGATGGCGAACCTATGACATGCGTGTCAGAGGTGACACGCGAACTCATTTTTTTGGTTGATTTTTCTTTGTTAAATGGCATTTAAATATATAAAATAAATATCAAAAATATAAATCTTTGTTTTACTATGGTTGCAAATATCAAAACATTTCTATATGTGACACGGCACCAGAGTTAAGTTAGGGTTTTTCAAAATGCTGACACGCCGAGCTCAAAAGGTTCGCCATCACTGGTATAAGGTTTTGCCAGGGAGTCCTTCTCGTGGTGATCCCACTTCTGGCTCTGGTAACACCCTCTCCTCCCTAATAGTGGCTTCCTGCTGTCGCCAATCTCAAGGTTGCCAAACCTTCCTGTCTGCCCTTTTAGTTCTCCCAGCACCTTTGCAACTCATTCCCCCTACCAGATCCGCATTGGGTGGAGGAGGCCATTTGCCTGACTTGACCCCTCCTAGATCTCTCCACTTCACCATCACACCCTATATAACCCCTGCCCAAATCCTGCTCTCCATATTCTCCAGCCAGACCAGAGACCACAAACCAACAGCAGGTTAGAGGCTGTTTCTTTATACAAAGGTAATCAACACTATGGATCCACCAGCATGCTGCTGCGGTTCACACTGTCCTTCTCACCACTTCTGGGGCAGAAGTCTTAAGGGGTGGGGAGTGGGCAGTCACTGCAGGGGAAAAACACTATGCATGCCTGGGGACTGCCGAGCACACCGCTGGGAGGTCCCAAAGGGCAGACACCGACACTATACAGTAGAGTACTATACACAGTGACAGGAAGGAAATGCAGAGCTGGAACTAACCATTGGTGACTACTGACAACCAAGAAGCCCAGATGTGCCACTACAGAGCTAGGCGTTGTCATGTAATCAGTCTTGCTTCTGCAGCTACAAAATGGGGACAATAAACTATACGTCACAAAGTTGTCATGAAAATGAAATAAGGGCCTAGCTGGTTTGGCTTAGTGGATAGAGCATCGGCCTGTGGACTGAAGGGTCCCAGGTTCGATTCCAGTCAAGAGCACATGCCTGGGTTGCAGGCTTGATCCCCCGTAGGGGGTGTGCAGGAGGCAGCCAATCAATGATTCTCTCTCATCTTGATGTTTCTATCTCTCTCTCCGTCTCCCTTCCTCTCTGAAATCAATAAAAATATATAAAAAAAAATAAAAAGAAAATGTAATAAGGACATATAGCAAAGTACTCAACACAGAGCCTGGCACAGAGGTGTTTAATAAATAATTTTTTGTCAAGAAAACCTTAGATAATTTCCCTAGAAATTTCCCATCAAGGGATCAGGATCCTTGAGCATTCCTTGGAGTCTGTAGTCTCTGGAGTGGGCAGGGCCCTGGAACATTCAGTGGCAGGGCAGTTGAGGGGGATGAGGGGCTGGACCCCTAAGGAGACCGCTACGGAACCTGGGTAGGCACAGGAGTTAGGGGCTGTGCCAAAATGGTTCTGCACGTAACACAGGCCGGAGGCAGGCTGGTAGGGAGGCAGGCTGGGCATGTGCCCAAGAGCACAGGCTGGCCAGGAAGCTAGTTTCTGGCCACTGGCATGCTGCATCTGGGCAACAAGGGGGCTTGGGGACAGGTGAGGGTAGCTGCTCTGCGTGGGGTAGGAGCCGGGCACAGGGTTCAGCCTGGAATGGAACAAGAGAAAAAATGGTCATTCAGCTAGAAATGCCAAGGCACACAGCACCCCCAGCTGTCATTCCACATGAGAAAAGCTTGGGGTCACTGTGCTACTTCATATTACAATGTGCTCTAGACACTGCTTTAACGGACTCTAAGTACTAACTAGGGAGAAAGGTTAAACTCAACCAAACAGAAAACAGATGCCCAGAGAGGGAAGGTCCCACTCATGGTCCTGCAGAAAGCCAGCAGGATGAAGGGATATTGGGCTCATGAGTGAGACCACCTGAGTGTAACCTACTCGCAGCAGCTTGCAAACTGGGTGGAGATGGGGACCAGATCCCAGTAACCAGCGGCTGGCTCAGCAATTCTACCCTAAGAGAAAGGATCCATTCCTGTGGGAAGGAAGGTGGGAAGGCTCCAATGGGGTAACATAGGGCTTGGGCCCAGGCCTTGTTTGCTGTGAGATTTTCTACCTGTGATTTCAGGAACAAACACTCACTCACAGCTCAAAGTCCTGGCCGGCAGAAACCAGTGACAGATGTGGGGAGCTATCTGTGCTGAGGCTCAGGGCCCCAAAACAGACACATGAGGCTGAGACTGTGAATGGAGACACAGCCTAAGTTTTATCCTTTGAACTTTTGTGCAAAGTTCCAAATATGGAGAATGAATGCCAACACCATTGATGTCTGTTAGGTGACTGGACTAAACCTGTGTACATTTTAATTAAAACCCAACCTTACAAATCAAATGTACAAGTAAGTACAGACACCAGATACTTAATAGCACGTCCAGGACATTTTAAAATGTAGAGGTTTTGGCCTACCAAAAGTTCAACAACAGCCTCCAGAGGGGCAAAGCTGTCCAGAGAGCCACGTCACCTGCCCAAACACGTGTTGTAGTATTGCCCGTGTGCCATTGTCAGACCATCTGACACTGTGTCCTGTTCTGGGTGCCTACAGCAGGCCAGGATAATGAGGGACCAAACATGGGAGGAACTGAAAAAGTTACCATGTGCCCCACCCTGAGCTGAATGTCACAGTGAAGCAGGATCACATCACACCTGGCACCAGTGAGTCACAGTTATAGAGAGGTGACTGCAATTCAACATGGAAGAACTTCCTCATCAGGGGCTGCCTTGGAGTGAGCTCCCAGCCACTAGGGGGTGAAAGTTAAGACTGGGTGACCGTGACCACAGCCAGCTGTTTTAGAGGGGACTCTTTCACAGAGTGGGAAATTGCATTCGAGGACCCTTAAGTCCTCTCTAGACTCCATGAGAACAATTAAAAGTCCAAAAGCCACAATTCACCTCATTCTATATTTAAACAGTCTCCCAACATTTAGACCTCAGGAATTACTTGTCTGGAGCAAAGTGGGTGAATGTGCATTTTTTATTTTTGCAATTATCCACTTCCCCCAAATACGTGCTTTTGAAAAATGGTCAAAGGGCTTTGAGCCTGTGAAGGCTGAGAATGTCCACCTCCAATTTAACCCAAACCCCATATCCAGGCAGTCACAGAGGGCAAAATTTACCTCACAGATGGCTGAAGGCAAAAAGGGGCCACTGGCATCCTGACTTCACAGTGAGCCCTTACTTTTGGAGGAACCGTGTCATCTGAGCATGGACAGGAACCAGAGGAGGACAACAGGCCGACAGTGTGGCACAGTGGAAAGGGAGTAAGGAAGACCTGGAAGCAGGGGACCCTCGTTCTAGACTGAGCTCTCCTGCCTGTGTTACATGGAGAAAGACTCTTGTCCTCTTCGGGCCTCTTCTCTAAAAGGAAGCAATGAAGCTACAAGAGCTCTGACAGCTTGCTTACACTGTTCATTGAGAGTTAATGAGCCTGGACTAGAAACAGTAAACTTCACCTTCTCTTGCTGGGTGGCCAAGAAAACCCGATCTCTCAGGTCTTGGGGTGTGCTACCTCCTAAGCCTCCAAGTCAGCTGTGTGGCCTGTCTGTGCTTCTTACCAGTATGCCATGCTAGAGCCCAATCCAGCCTGCAGAGTGCTTGTCAGTGCTGAGGGTTGGTAATAACACTATCTAGGACCGCTCCCTCAAGCTGGCTGTCACAGTCACTCACAAGTGCTTCTAATGCCTTCCCGCTTCCCACTCCCGCTCACTCCCTACTTCAGATGCAGTTGGCCAGAATCTAGAGTGCTCAGAAGACATCTGTGCATAGATTTTCTGGGCCCAGGGCTACTCACATCCTGTTCCTTTTTTCCCGTGACACTGAACTAGTCACACCATCTACAGGCCCTGGAATTGCTTTAAGAATAAGATTTAAGAGTTCTGTAACTTACTTCCGGTTCCGGGCTGCTCTTCTTTCGGCTGAAGAACCTGAGATGTATTTGAATATCGAAATCCTCCTCATAAGGCTGAAAGGGAACTTCTGGTCAAGCTTCAATGCTATTTTCTCTGAGATGTCGAAGGAATAGCAGTATGTGAGGCCATCTGAGGTTGGCATATTAAGTAAAATTGGAGGCAGCTAAAGAGAGGAGTGCTGAACACTCCCCAGAGAAGAATATAGGTTCCCACATTTAATTCACAGGGGCATTAGTGCTTTTTCCACCATAAACTCTGATTGGTTTTTCAAGCTCAGGGGAAAACAAAATCTGGGTTTCTATCCCCTATACCTCAGAGGGAACAAGGCCCAGCAAAAGGAGAGGGCAGAGCCCTGGCCGGTGTGGGTCAGTTTGTTGGGCATCATCCCAGGCACGGAGGGGTTGCAGGTTCGATTCCCAGTCAAGGCACGTGCCCAGGTTGCGGGCTCAATCCCAGGTGGGGATTGTGCAGGAGGCAGCCAATCAATGTTTTGCTCTCACACTGATGTTTCTATCTTTCTCTTCCTCTACCTTCTTCTTCTCTAAAATTAATAAAAATATATTAAAAAATAAAAAAAGGCAAAGATTAGAGAAGCAACTATATGCTATCTATAAGAAACAAGCTTTGAATATAAAGACATATTAAAAATATAAGGATGAAAAAATATATACCATGCAAATCCCAATTTTAAGAAAGTAGAAAGTTGGAATAACTATTAGTATTAGACAACGAAGACTTTAGGGCAAAGAATATTAACATAGAATAAAGGGGTCTATTTCATAATGATAAAAGGGAACTCATTAAGATGACATAACAATCCTAAATGTGTATGCATCCAATTATAGAGTTTCAAAATATTTGAAGCAAAAACTAATGAGAACTGAAAGGAAAAAAGAAATCCACAATTTTAGTTTGATTTCAACAGTTCTCTTAGTAATTGAGAGAACAAGTATAAGGAGAAGGCTCTGCCCTCTCCTTTTGCTGTGTCTTGACCTAACTGGCATATATTAAACTGTATACCCACCAACTGCAGAATGCACCGAGAACATTCACCAAGATGTACCAAATGCTGGGCCAGAACTGAAGTTAAAAGAGCTGTAAAATTACTAAGGATAGTCTCTTATCTCATGAAATAAAATTAGAAATCAATATCAAAAAGAAATCTGGAAAATCACCAAACATTTAGAAATTAAGCAACTCACTTATAAATAAACCCTGGGTCAAAGAAGAAATCCCAAGGAAAATTAGGAAATACTTTTAACTGAGCGATGACACAACATATCAAAATCTGTAGAATGCAGTTAAAATAGTGCTTATACGGGAGTATTTAGGTTTCAATTTTCATATTAGGAAGGTTTAAAATCAATTAAATTAAAAATAGCAGCTATGTTATCAATGTGTATTTATATACTATCTATCCCAATAGATAATTGAATCACAAATTAAAAGTGATTTTAGAAATGTACCTATCTAACTCCAACACTACCAATTCTAATGTTTAAAAGAGTAACCCGCCCTGGCCAGTGTGGCTCAGTTGGCTGAGTGTTGTCCCAAATTTACAGGTTCAATTTCTGGTCAGGGCATATGCCTGGGTTACGGGTTAGATTCCTAGTAGGGGGCATGCAGGAGGTAGCTGATGGATGTTTCTCTCACATTGATGTTCCTTTCTCTTTCCCTCTCTCTCTCAAATCAATAAAAACATATTTTAAAATAATAATAAAATAAATATTTTAGATCCCCCCCAATTGCTAGAATATTTATACAAGGGATATAAGGCTTGTCCTAAGTTTTTAACCACCCATATGGTAAAAGCCTATCATAAAAAAAAGTGGGTGGTTTTTGTTGTGCACATGCACACACATGCATGTGTGTATGTTCTATGAGAAAAAAGACTAAACCAAACAAAATTAAGACAAATAAATCTGTTTTCTATTCCTTTCATGGAACATCTCCAGCTCATGGATATTTCAGATTCTTCTAATGAAAACTCATAACATAATTAGTCAAATGTACACTTACACCTTAGTTTACAAGGGAAAAAAATCAAATCAGAAATTTTTGTTGTTAATCCTCACCCAAGGATATTTTTTCAATTGATTTTTAGAGAGAGTGGAAGGGAAGAAGGGAGAGAAAGAGGGAGAAAGAGGGAGAGAGAAACATCAATGTGAGAGAAACACATCAATTAGTTGCCTCCTGCACTCAGCCACGACCGGGGCGGGACTGAACCTGCAACTTAGGTATATGCCCTTGACTGGACTCGAACCCGAGACCCTTTGGTGCATGGGCCAATGTTCCAACCACTGAGCCACACCGACCAGGGCTAAATCAGAATATTTTACTAACTGGTAACACTACACTGGCATGAAGAGAGAGCTGTACTGATATTTTCCAGATGAGGACATTCTAGCCTAGAAGAGGGAAGCAACAGATCTACCCAAGGCCGTGTGGTTTTCAAAGCTGAAAGCTATAACTCAGATTACCTATATCTGACCCCATGGCTCTACCTACATGACCCCTCTAGACTCTCCAACTTGGTTTACTCTTTGGGATGTCAACGTTCTATCATTCCCTTCCAGGAAGGATACATGCTAGCCCAACTCCAAGTCCACAGACATTACTGAGAAAAGAGGTCTGAGGAATGAGCCAGGAGGCACACAGCAGGAGCCATGGCACCAGGATGGAGGGCACAACCATGCCGAATACCAGGGCCCTCCTCATGCGGGAGCGGACAACACTGACTCCCAGCATGGCAAAAGCCACTGGGGTGAAACCTCTGGCGTCCTCCACCTCCCCCAACTTCAACAGTGACGACACGGCCTCAAAGGACAAGTAGATGATAGCGGAGATGAGGGCGAAGATCACGGTGAAGAAGCAGTGGCGGACGGTGCCCACGGTTCTCTCAAAATTGCCAGCAAAGCGCCAGATGATGATAGCACCACACAGCAGGGAAACTGGATTCTCATAGACAAAGATGTAGGTCACCAGCCTGTAAACTGTAGAGGGAGCTGGGTTAGAGGCCCGACAATGGGTTGCTCCAAGGTGGGAAAGACAGGTTACAACCCACCTAGAAAAGGGGGAGGAGCTCCTATGATAGCACACTGAGAACCAGTGAAAATCAGCCAGGAGCCAAGATAAGCAATGGGAAGCAACAACGATCAGAACCCAAGACTCAAAATAGAGGCATGAATGTCTAAATCCCTGCTCTTTCCCACACCTGGAGTAAGTCTTTTCAGTGACTGATTTCCATGTGGAAAAAAAAATAATAATAATACTTTTTAGCATGGGATAGTCTTTGAATTTGTAATTTGCTTTATGTCCCCTTTTTTAGGTTTTAATACTGACCTATCTCACCAGGCAGTTTGAGGGTTAATTAATTGTAACAGCTTCAGGGTGGACTGAGTGGGTGTCCCTTAACACTCTGTATGCCAGTCTCCTCGGCTGTAATCCTGACCTCTCCTTCCATAGTGGCTGTTCAGAGGAAGAAAAAAGGGACCATGAATTATTTTGCACCTATAAAGATCACTGTAATCTAGATATAAAAGATATAAAATTATCACTAATAATATAGGTGTAAAACTCACAAGTCTTCCTTAAAAGTGCTTACCCAATCCTACAGGTAGAGTAACACTTTATGTGCAATAAGACAGCAAAGAATTTAACTTCTATTTTTCTAAAAGCAGACATGTCTTATGTACTTTTGTAGGCCAAAACATTAAACGGAAGGAGGGGGACTGGTGAAGTGGCAGTAATACTGGACTTGGAGCCTAAAGACTTGGAGTGGAATCTTGGTTCTATCATGTAAGGGCAGGCTGAACTTAGGTCACCGGGTCTCGTGGCTTGTTTCCTCAGTATGAAGTAACAGATTATACTTGAGGCCTTCAAAGGTCTTTTATGTGTCTAATACTCATATGCCCATGAACCCCACACTTGGGGAAGCTGTAAATTAAAGAAAATGGGGAGCTCAGTGTAGGTTGACATTTTGCATCTGTCTATGACCTGCTCTGCATCCCAGTGGGGGGAAGTTTTAGATTTGAACAGGGAGGCAGGCTGTGATCCTCAGTCGGGCCATCTCTGCCAGGCCTCATTATCTGAAGCGTACATGGTTATTTGTCAAATACTTCCACAACTGAAATTCCAAGTGTAAATGTGAAGATTCTAGAAGCAACGCTATATGATTTGGGGATTATATACCCCAAAGCTCCAGTTCCAAAACATCACACGATGAAAAGAAAAATCTGGGTTCTGTCTCAGCTGACTTAATAGTTCTGTTTCTCTGCATGAAGCCTCAGTCTCATCTAAATGATGGGCAATAATAAAGCCTACATCATGGGATCATCGAGAGGATGAAATAATGTGAGTGCGCTTTGCAAAACAGCAAGTCGTATACATTTCCCACGTCCTCCCCAGGAAAGAATGGAAGTTTACAAGCAGATGTTTATACTTAATCGCTCTGCAAATTTCTCTCCCCCAAAGAAATCTAGCCCCTCTCCCCATGAGCTGGGAATCTGACTCTGGATTAAGATATAAACGAAGAAGCAGAAGAAATTCTAAACCTCAAGAGGCCAGGACGCTTATTCAGGGGTAGCCATAGATAAAGTTGTAATGTCTTGATGAAGATGCGAGGGGAAAAAAAATTCCAGTGGGAGGGAGTTAGGCCCTAAAGCAGACTTGAGTGTGTATATGACAAGGGAGGGGGAGAGGAAAAATCCTCCGGGGAGCGTGCGCACGGGTGAATGAAACCTGTTTCCTAGCGAATGAATTGAGGGGGCCTTCATCAGTCCAGTGGAGACAGGGAAGGGAACACATAAGAGTGGGGAAAGATTGCAATGATGACGAAGGGGGGCTCTGGAGAGACAAAGACGTGGAACATGGGGCTGGTCCTCCGGGTGGAGAGGATGATGATGCGGACGGAGTAGCTGGAGGTGAGGCCTGATGGCGCGGGTGCTGGGAGCCCAAAGCCCAGGGCCTGGCGAGGTCGGAGGAAAAGGGCTGACACCTGGCGCTCGAGCCCGCCCAGCTCACCTTGCCAGTTGCGCAGGCAATCGGATCGCAGAGAGAGGCCGGAGGGCGGCAGGGGCGGCTGCAGCAGAAACAGGCGGGGCCCGGACAACAGGAGCGAGAGCAGCGCGGTGAAGAAGGTGGCGGACGGCACCTCTGGACGCG